ATGATTTGCTGGCTTCACCTTATTTAAGCTATTGTGCAGAGGTCTGGGGCAATAACTACAAAAGTACATCACATCCACTGTTATTATTTATTTATTTATTTTAAAGGCAGTAATGATCATTTACAATTCAGGTTATAAGGACTTTATAAATTGACTATTTTTAAAGATTAAATGATTAAAATTTGTAGATCTTGTGAAATTCTGGACAGCACTTTTTTTTTTTTTTTGAAGAGCAAAACATAATCAGCTACCAGGAAATTTTCAAAGCATTTTTTTTCTGAGAGAATGAAGTTATAATTTATGGGGTTTTTGCAACTTCAAAACTGAAGGTGTATACTACCAGGAAAAGTTCTAGTTTGAGTGTGTGGAGTCAGACAGTTAAAGGTTGAATCAGTGTCCAAACATGAAGCAGGTCAAAAAGAGAGGTATGGTATGGATATGGTCCTCAAGAGATGTAAAGAAGGGGACAATGTTGAATTTCAGTGAATGTCTCTGGTTGTTACTTTGTGCTTATTTGGATTTTGTAATTAACATTCCCTAAGTGGAGTTACTTGGCTTTCATGTGCAGATGTGAACCTATGGAGTTGTAAATATAAAGATGATCAGATTATTATTTTGTGTATTTCATTTTGTTTATATTCTGTGTTATTGGAAGTGTTTATAATGTTGTTGAGGTTTATAACAATAATTAAGTTGGTTAAATAGTATCTTATGAAGGAAGAATGTGATTAAATAAGTGTGCACTTCTTCCCACTTATTTCAGATAAGTAAACTGAGTCAAAAAAAAGAGGAGCAGTATTGTACTGTGTTTTGCTTCATTTTTCTTCTTTTGCCGTTGTTTTCCTACATAATTACGTAATCAAACAATCCAAACAAATCAACAAAACAATTCAAGGCAGTACTTTTTCCTAAGCTACTTGGGAGAGCTAACCACAGCAATGTTCACATATGTTGATACTGGGTGTTTACTCTCCGTAGCAAGGCGTAGATACAAGTTTTATTGGGAGGGGTTGTTAATAAATATTCTTCTTGTCCCAGGGACCTTCTGAAACAGTTCACTACCATGGAGTTAATGCGCTGGGCCTCCTTGGTGGAGGATTATGGGAAAGAGCTGAGAGACGGATCACCCAACAGCCCTGCAACAGATGTCTTCTCTTATACAGAGGAAGGGGAGAAAAGGTGGAAGGACCTGAAGAATAGAGTGGTCGAGCATGTAAGTCCTATTGTCGAGAGCAGGGGCTTCTCACTTGGAGTTTGAACACACAACTGTGACACTTTGTTAGACTTGTTTTAGTTTTGACGGTTTTCTGAGTGCTTTCTTAGTTTTAAACTTGTCAGTGGGTGACATGTTTTCCCCTCGTTTTTTACTAAAGTAAAGTAGTTGGCAGGACCATTCAAAACCTTTTTTTCTTATAATGATCAAGAGACTGAGTTCAATTTAAATAGATACAAGGACTAATCCCAAAAGGTTGATTCTCTTCATCTGGACGTAGCGTTTTCAGTGGGAGAAACATTTTGTCACTCATCCAAGTGACTTATTCAGTCTCAGCTGACTGCAGGTTTCCCCAGCCTTATAAACACTACATTTGCACAATGACTGAATTTAACCCACTGAATGAACAATGGGCTGTGAGGTCAGTTCCTTGATCATTAATATGTAATAGGACTAAATGGAACACAATTGGACATACAATAGAAATACAATGGAGGCAACTGAGATAAAGATGACTCTGAAGCTTTATGCAGATTGAGTGGATAAACTGTCTGGCTCTTATATTTAGGTACATTGTATGTGCACTGATAACCGTGATATGATTTTCACGTGTTTTCTGCTGTCCCCAGAACATCCGAATAATGGCCAAATATTACACGAGAATCACAATGAAAAGGATGGCTAACCTTCTTGACCTCTCTGTTGATGTAAGTAAAACAATATAGCTAAATAACTCATTTAAATGTAGTTTTTGAGTGTAACTCGGAACTGCCGAGTTACACTCAAAAACTATAAATAAGAGGCACTAACCCAGTTCTCTCTCTCTCGTTAAATACTTTATCAGGAGTCGGAGGAGTTCCTCTCCAGCCTAGTTGTAAACAAGACCATCTACGCCAAGGTTGACCGGCTGGCTGGCATCATCAACTTTCAGCGGCCCAAAGACCCCAATGACCTGCTCAACGACTGGTCACACAAACTCAACTCACTTATGTCTCTGGTCAACAAGACCACACATCTCATTGCCAAGGAGGAAATGATTCATAATCTGCAGTGAAACAAGAACAAAGTGCTTTATTTTATGTTTTGATTCATATTTTGTTTTTCCTTCTGTGGAAATGTTTTTGACTACACAGTATAATGGCAGCCTGTGAAAGCAATCTAATTCCAATGTGATAGAATTAGCAAAAAAAAGTCTTCAACACACATGAACATGCAAACACTTATCCTTTGCATCTCACTCTGGACTGGATATTCAAAGTGTTACACATTGCCATTTGATGTAATATATACAGTAGTTTAGCCTCTGTTTCTTTATAAAAACCTGGTTTTCAATGTACATCTAGCAATGTAAACAATAAACTTCTGACATTTGGTTAACAGTTATATATGTAGGTGTTATTGTAGAATGACTTACATTGATTCTATTATGACAAACCATGAAAACATGAGTGCATAGTAGGTGATAAAAGGATTAATGTGAAAAACACCAAGGGCGTACAGCGCACAAAGTTCAATGAATAATATGTGCCGATGCTTTAATTACAATGGGTTATCCAGATTGCAGATCCCTCTCTTCACTTTGATTTTAATTTCCACGGGGCCCAAAATGAAATGTTTGACACATTCATACACCACGTAAAAAGATTTTTTCCACCAGCAGATATATTGACAAAGAAATTGTTGGCATCCAGTTGTGCACCAGTAAACACCACAGTAGGCATTTTGAGTGGTAATAGCACAAAAGCACAGGTAGAACTAATGACATTAAATGTGGCTCGGGATAATAAAATGTCAGGGGTGCCATAACAATGAGCTAGCATGCATAATAGCAGAATACTGGAACTTCTTATTTGAATGGAAAACTGCTTTTAATCATAGCAATTACCTCTGTGCTTTACTTACTATGTGTATGTGCCCTCATTTCTTGGCTTATGAGTGCAGAAAATACAATTTTAACTAGCTCAATTATATTTTCCCTCTTTTTTTATGTCCACAATGTAATGTGGCAAGTCAACATAAAGATTCAAATGTTATTATTGTGGAAATTTTCAATACATCACAGTTTAATCTTACACACACCACTTATTGTTGTGTGTGTGGTCATTTCGGGTTTTTTAAATATGTTCTATGAAGCAAATGGATTAATTTTGGTCACCTCGAGGACTTGATTGGATTTATTAGAAACACCTCATCTGTGTCACAAAATCGGCTCATATCATTGTACATCCCTGAGAGTTATAAAAGGCTTGACTGGATGGATGAGGAAAAATACCTTTAGGTTAAGGGAAGATAAGTGACGTTCCTAAAATGTCATAAACTCAAAATGCTTTTTAGTTTTATACTAAATTTTTTAGTTTAATAAACATAATTTGATGCAGATTTCTTTTTTAAACCGTAATGCTACATTTCAGATTTTATATTTTCAGACATCCATCCATCCATCCATCCATTCGCTTCCGCTTATCCTTTTCAGGGTCGCGGGGGGCGCTGGAGCCTATCCCAGCTATTTTCAGACATATAGGAGTCAATCCTACAGTTGTAGAACATTGTCTGTCCCACTCATGAATTTGAAAATATCTATAAGCTATTAAAACATGTATTTGGGGGTTAATTATATCTGTCCTGGGACAAAATGTAAACCTAGTTGTTGATAAAGTGGTTCCAAAATTATTATTTAAAATATAAAATAACTCTTGAGAAACCCCTCCCCCAAAAGAAAATGGCATTTTTCTCTTATCACAACTTCTTAATAACCGAATTGCATGTCAAATACAACAATTAAAATGTTATAAACGCACTTTTTTGTTTTCATTTTGTTGGCATGTGTGTTACAATTGTTAAACAACTTTTTAAAACACCAACATACTTTAAAGAAGAGTGATTGTATCCCAGGTCATTTGTTCAACTATGCCCATTTAGCCTGGAAAAGGAAAAGATAAAGTAGTTAGAAGGCGACAAAAAGGAAGTAATAAAGTAATATGAACAAGTCCTGTGATAATATTATGGATAGTCCAAAGGTCAGTTCTCTTTGGCAAATTTTGTATTTTTCCAATCTTTTCTGACTAGACTGTATCACTCTAACCAATGCAGCACTGTTACCTGTATTACAAAAAGAAGATAAATTAATTTTGGTGTTTCCTTCCTTTTTTAAATATATATATTCACAATCATTCATGACTGTTGCAGTCCATTATGTTACTCAATTCAATATATACTCAATATATATATAGATATATATCTATATATGTGTGTGTGTGTAATAAACTTTCTAAATATATTAAAAGTATATAAAATATTCTCATTATTATTATTATTAAATGTGTGAACAGTGTATTTGAGATAAATACTGAAATTAAATGAAAACGTTGGGGAACGTAGATTTCAAAAGTTGCTTAAATGAATATAAATTAAGTCTTAAGAATGTATATTATATGCTATAAAATATGCTTTTTCATATTCCAGAGTATTGGTGTGAGCTGTACCAAGCATAGCACACAGCAACTTAAATGTCACATAAAAGTGTACTTTTGATACCTGAGGTGGATAAATCTATATTTTTGATGTTTTTTTAAAATGTGTTTTTCTTAGAAACATAACAGAGAATTATGAAATAAAAGACCAGTTTTAAAAAACGATTCCTAAATTGTGCTCTAACTGCAGAATGACCCGTAGACTAACTTTACTTGAATTTTAGTCCCACGTGTGTGCTTACAAGGAATAAAACGAACTACTATGACAAAAAGGATGCTTGTCATCACGGGCCATATAGACGCGCACGCAAACACACGTTTCGGTCCCCTCAACCTTCAGATCTGTACATCCCACTATGCTTTGCGATGACGGTCTGACAAGTGGATCCAAGATGGCGTAGAAAGTAAAGCTAGGTAAGTGTTGACTTCCCATTTTCAGCCCTTTCAGTTGTCTTTTTCATCTCAAAGGCACTGCCACGAAACCCCACCATAAATCATTAGGATAATGGCGAATGCTTTGAGTTTATGCACGAATAACAACACGATGTCATACCAGTTATATGCGTCCAAACACCGTGGCAAAATCACAGGCCCGAACCCGTTTTGTTTCGGCGAACCTAGCTAGCTAGCCCGCTAACATTAACAAACCAGACAGCCATTCTTGTTGTGAGCTTCCCAGTTTGGTTCCAAGAAAGGCCGTGTTTTGGCTAGCAGGCTAACTGCTAGCTACGCATACTCTATTTAGTGGCAACACTGTGTGCCCTGTGCAAAGGCGAGCGATAAGTTGACCAACACTTTGAGTGGGGACATTTTTTTTTGTTTTTTTGTTTTTTTGCAAGGCTTTGTGACGCTGCCGTCATCGCTCTTACTTGCAGCAGTCATGACAAGTTTGCTGGACAAACAATAGCTATAACTAACTACTGAAAGGCAGATCATGTCCACTCCAGTGTATTTGGTATTTAGTGTATGCACTCTTGCTGCCTCCTGCCAGTTAAGCTTAGGGAAATAAGTTTTTACAGCCGTATTTTGCACACGTTGCTGCTGACGATACTGTCAAGCCAAATAACGTTATCTGAGGACAACGGAGACAGTCGCGGTTGCTCTACAACTATTTTCCGTTATAAATATTAGCGTTTTCTTCCACTGTATATTGTAATCGTGGAGTCCCACGACTGAACACGAAAAATAAGACAGCTGCCCACCCGCTGCATCCCGCCAAACTATTTTTCGTTGCACCAGTGAAGTGCCAAGCACTAATATTAGGTAACGGATATCCCCACAGTAACAAATAGGGCTGTGAATCGCTACATTGGTTTTAAACTAACCCTACTTGATCGTAGCAAGCACTGTGTCGTGCATCTCTTTTGTTTTTTTGTTCTACAATTCTGTTGTTCATCTTCCCATAAGCCATCATTCTCTGGTCAAGCAACTTTTAACTCTCAACTACTTTTGGATGATTACATGTTTTTTCCTTAGTCTTAAGACTATTTTAATTATTATATTTGCAGAAAGTTGTTTTACAAATACAAACAGCTACTTTAAATTCAAATCCTAGAAGTTATTTTAAGATTTTCTGACATTGTGGATGAACCATTTTTATGCAAAATGCTCCAGACAATGTGTGATGACGAGGTGTGGCAAAATTGGTTAGTTTCATGTCTGCATGATGACAAAAAACTAGTTATACTAATCAAAAATGCATCTGTATTTTTTTATTTTATTTTATTTTTAAAGGAAGCGTTCACACCACGAGTTTACTTTTTGAAGATCAGCAGACCTATAATGTGTCATATTCCTAAATGAAAAGGCAAAGAATTAGCTGCTTATGGTCCCCTCCCTGCTTGGTTAGCTTATTTTTTTCTGACTCATGGAATATCTGTCCAGGCCAATGGTGACGATTGTGGTCTTTTTAGCGTTAAAATTAATATAAGTGCAATGACTGCATTATTTGCTTCACATGTGCTTTTTGCGACAGTGAAAAAAATCCTTCAAATACATTATTGTGTGTCATGTGTATTACCATGTACTGCACATAAGCTGAAAGACTTGTCTCTCTATGGTCCTAAGAGACATGTTGAGCCAGAGCAGCTATTACTAACGTAGCTGTATGTTAGTAGATGTTGAAGAAGTGTCTCAAACACTGTTACAGGGTTAACAAACTCCCCCACTGCACCCACCGCCTCTTGCATGATTGATTTTGATTTTGAAAATATTTTTTTAACAATGTGTGAAATGTCAAATCCTTTTGTTTAATGTCTTCATCATGCGATGCAGGTATAAATTGCAATTTCACAGCTAGCATATAGTAATTTGGTGCCTCCTCTCTCTCTTTCAAGGACACCCTGTTCCAAATATGCCTAAAATTACTGTGCTGTAGGTGACAGCTTCCCTGTTCCTCTGAGGTAGTCAGAATCAAAATCTAAATTCCATACTGTGGTGAGTGCTTGGATTGAAATTGAGCATCAGCTAACTGCTGAAACTCCGTTTGCTTTGCACATAGCTATAATAGGGGCTTTTAGTGTAGTATTTTTGTGACAAAAGCTCTTTATCTGCCTTCCTGAGATAAGTTGCAGTTCTGGTGTTGAAACCAGTGTGGTTGGAAACCGGGCCAGAAGTTGCTAGGCTGTTATCCAAGGCTAAGCATTTGAGGCTTTGGCGTTTGACAGGAGTTCACAGTGTACCCTCCCTATCCTGGAAAAAAAAAAAGCCACTTTCTTGTTTCTTACATGTTGTTGTATAAGATATTAATTAGAAGTTGCTAGAAAAACTACTGGTACCATTACACTCCTAGTCCCAAAATACGCAAGTCTCAGCAGGACAGATTGTGATGAGGTTTTATCTGAAACATTGTAAAAATAAAAGTACTGCTAGAAATTCAACATAAAGGTTATATTGACTTTTCCTCTGCATACTGTCCAGCATGTCCACTATCTTGTCTCAGCAATGCCCCTTTATTCTGGATGATCAGTTATGCCCATTATGAGTCAGTTGACACCAGACAGCTGACTCTACTACTGACTTCAGAGCTTGATCATAAAGAGGAATGTCTCTTATATTGCTTAAGACATCTCACATGACTACATCTTTCTCTGCTCTTTGCACATGTATTTCAATTTACACTGTGTAAGCACAGGCGGAGGTTGAGGTATGTTAGAAACACTCCAAGGAGTCTTATCCTCTGTTCTTGTTGATTTATGGCAAACATCAGTTACATGAGAACTTGACTTTTGCTTGTTGCCACTGTAAAATGACATTTTACTGTAGAAAACCTTTTTAAAAAAAACAAAAACAAACTTGTTCCAAATCAAAAGCCACAATATATAATTTATTATTAAAGTGAACATAATTTAATAATTTATGACTGTGACGTTATGTGGAGGGGAAAAAAAACATTTACTTTATTTAAAAATAATGTTCTGTGTCAACTACATGTACAAGTAAAAGCAAATAAAAATGACCTATCAAATCGGGAGTTCATTGGAAGCAACAGACTATCTTACCCAAATAGCTGAATTCAGTTTTCAGTGGAAAGTTAGGCAGCTGATGTTGGCTGCGTTTTACATATTGTTTGACAATAATCAGGATGACAATTTCCGAGAGGTTGGAGAAAAAGAAAATTGTTATCTTTTGTCTAGCCCTGTTTTTTTTTTTTTTTTTTTCTTTTCTTTTTTTTAAGTGTTCTTATTTTTGTGCCGTTTGTGTTTTATTTGTAGACGGTTTGTCCCTAAGTCATGGCGGACAGGAGAGCGGAGAAGTCATGTGAAGAAGCCAGTAGATCGTTAGCCAGGCGGGAGTACGAGGCGGCAGTCAGCCATAGCACGGATGCCCTGGTGGTCCTTGCACCCCAACCCCCATCCTCCAGCAACCCCATCCCGCTGAGCCCTCCATCTCTTGTCGCCGCCGCCGGACCCCTCCGCAGCCGTGCCCTGCTCTACCGAATTGCTGCCTTCTTGCAGCTGGTGAGGACACGGCTGATTTTTACAACTATTTAACATCCCCCAAAATCACAATGTAGAGACAGAACTCATTAACAATAATAATGTGAAATATAAAATTATCATCTAATACTCATCTTGAAATTATTACATTACATTGAAATAACTGACCATTGTCCTTTGAATCAACCTTTGTGAAATGAAGAGAAGATTAAAAATGAGGAAACAGAAGTTTCTTCCAGGGTACTGTTAGGTCATCTTTGCTGAAGACTAAAATTAGACCTGTTGCTTGAGGCTGAAGATTATGGAAACTACTTAAGTCTTATAAGTCTGATAATGTGAGGAAGTATCACCAAGTATTCTCATTTGTAAAGGTCATAAATTTTCTCCCCCATTTCTGCCAACAGAAAAATTATGATGAAGCAGATGAAGACTGCAAACATGGTGAGTGGCAACTCAAATTGTAAACAGTGCTGATACTGTAAGTTCATGTAGTGTAATAGGTAATTTTGTACCTGTGGTAGAAGTTTCACCATGTCCTGACATGTTAATTTTGCATCTACTGTAAGTGTTATAGCTGAAAAACAGAAGAAAATAAATGTTTAGGTCTGCACTCAGGTGATGCCCGGGGTCAAAGATAGTGTCCCAGTGTTGTCAAGTGAGTCGTTTACTGCAGTAAACCTGGGGCATTGCTGAAGCTTGCGGCATAGAAAAGTATATGGTACAATGTTGCCTCTTTCAGCCTGTATGAAAATACAAGCCCTGATAATCCTAAAATGTCATGTTTTCATTGAACTTTTCAGAAAATCAAATCAGTCCCTTTCACTCTTTTTCTAGAGAGCAGGCATGCAGACTTATCACATACAGAACATTGAAAAATATCTTAACTGACTGAACTGAATTTATTCTTTCCATACCCACTCCTCTTTCCTCTTCATCTTGTGATAGTCCTGGCCGAAGAAATTGCCAGGGGAGATGGTTCACTACAGGCGAACTTGCGCTCCATGCTGTTGGATGGCAGCCTGCAGGAGGTGGCCAGCATCCTGTCTAAAGCCTTGTATGGAGAGCCAATGGTATGATTAATGTATCTATAAATCGCATTCAAAAGTACTGTCAGACTACACATTGGTAGCTAGAAGGGTATTTAAAGTGCAGTGCCTACCATTGCCAATGTTCTACAGTTTTAGAATAATAATAATAATAATAATAATAATTCAGGCAATGTTTTTATTATGATTTTTGAAGCAGCTGTCAAAAGTTAGATGGTTTTGGTTTCCACTGGCCATTGTTAGATCATACATTGTTTAATTTTTTTTTCTCAACAAATTACATGTATGTTAGTACAGATTTTAAACTTGAATATTCATTTAGATCTGATGTGGGATTTTAAATGTTACCCTATATTTTGGATTAGGAATGTAATAGGCACTTCCTATGTATAATGAAATTCTGAGGGGTTCATGGTCTATATAGAGCAGTGTTAAGCAGAAAGGCAGTTAAACTGTAAAATTACACAATATTACAAAGATGAAATAAAGATCGATTAAATATTTTAATAAAAATGCACTTCTAATCACTACTTATTTAGCAGATATTTTCTGAGACCTTAAACATTCAGAAAAATCTTCATATAGCGGTGGATAAAGTCACTACCAGGAAGTGCAAATAAGCGATGAATCAAACAAGAGTTTTATTTGGCAAATAATTCACTAAGAAAGTGAATTGCTAAGTACCCTAGCTGTAAGGAAGCCATAAATGCATGAGCCAAAGGCTTATTTGCGCTTTTCGATACTATAATTTGTGACTTGTTGCCAGCAAACTCCAGGTTACATCGCACATACATTTCACATTCCACTGATCTAATATGGAAACCTTTGTAGTGCATACTGTAATGATGATGAAGATCAATTTTGCATGTTATTGTTAAAAAATGACTACTAATAAAAAGGACTAAAGTAGTTGTTTTCTTTCTCAACAGAATGGTATTGTTGCAAAAGACCTGAGCAGATTAAAAATGCTCTTCTCTGAAATAGAGGTACGTGCCTATTGTTCGTCATGCTCCTTTGTTCCAGTCATGTGGTGTTTGGTTTTTACAGGGAATTCTTCAATGCTTGTAGATGGAAATAATTAAGATTTGGTTATAGCCAAAGTATCTGTTGTTTATTTGTTCCCGTGCAATATGTTTAATGCCTAAGCTGATTGCATGGCGCTCGAGCTGTTTTTACACATGAACAGAGGATAACCTCAGGAAAGTCAGATCGGAACATTGTCCAAAGTTGCCCTTTCTCACATTTAATGATGGATCCAACAATCTGTGACATTTGCATGCAAATATGCACCTCCATTGGGTAATGCCTGGAAAAGTTAAGGGCATGCATGTATCTCAAGTTACTAGTTGACATATTAGAAATAATCTACGCACCACCTCCAAGCTCCTCATTCTGCCCCCCTCTCTGTCAGGCTGTAAAAGGAGACATGGCACCAGAATACACAGATGACCAGGATGAAGGTAAGCAAATGTGTACCATGACAAAAAAAATCACATTAATGTTGTTTTGTTTTTTCCCCTCTGCTTATCTTGACTGGTGGTGCAATATGATTATAAGCTTCTGGCTGAAATGGACCTGTGTGCCACTGTAAATGCCTGAGTGTGTTTTTAAGGATGAAAATACTGTATGGAAAATATGAACGCACATCTTCATTTAGATTATGAAATTCCAGCTCCGATTATGCTTGAGTTTAAAGGCAGATCTTCTTCACAGTTTTAAGTATTTAGGCTGTGATTTGTAGCTGTCCATCTCTCTCATACATACTGAAGGACAACAGACAAACTTAAAAATAAAAAGAACTGGCAGTGTTTAAAATTAAACATAAATGTCTCTTAATAGAAGACCAGCTTGTTTTTAAAAATTGAAAATTTTAAAAGCTAAACTGCAACAGCCAACAAGGCGACATCCAGCAGTAGCAACAATCCCAGCATAATTTCTCTAGAAATTGTATAATCTAGTTAGCATTAATGGTTATACTTTTCTCAGTCTTACATTGACCACCCTGCTCATATATTGACAGAGGTCCAAGATGGCTGGCGGTTCCGACCACCTCCAAGAGGAGTCACGAGCAGTGAGGAGTACACCCTTTGTAAAAGGTAATACAAATTGTATGGTTATTTGTAAGAAGTGAGGAATATCTGTAAATTTGTATATCTTTTGATGTGTTACTGGGGTTATAAAAGCAAATACATGTAACAAATTGTAAGGAAGAATTTATGATTGGTAGGGCATAAATGGGAAGAAAAAGTACTGACTATTAGTTACTAAATAGTGGAAATGAGGTGGGATTATATAAGATTATATATGCTTCTTCCTACTCCTTTTTGAGCGTCAGTTGTAAGTTATTTATAATTATTACTGTTTTGTTCTAATTTTGTTTTGCTTTCTTTTTTCTCTTTAGTGTTATACTATTTTAACATGTTCAAAATAAAGATACAGTACAAATACAAATGTATCTCACACTAAATGTTGCAAGGAAAAATATGCCATGACTTACGCTTATGTTTATGCAACTAACGGGCATTTGATGTCATCACACTGAGACTTCAGAATTTGTGATTGTAGTTCTGTGAATTTTCATTTTTGAACTCTTTACACCAAAGGGGTCTCCTTTACAAACAATAATATATTTTAGATTTTTGTGGTTGATAATGGTTTGTATAAAATTAACCAAAATTGTACAAGAGGGGTGGGATGAGGTGGGATGTGCCTTTTTGAGTCTGCACAACTTAAAAGGTAGAGGAGATGGGCACATGACATTTTTAACTACATTGTGTCACAGTCAATGTACCAACTATTTTTAAATGTTATACTTTTAAACAACCAGCATCACAAAACACAACGAGAAAGCATAATATAAATTGGGAACAAGAACCGTTGAGTATTCTGAAACATTTTATGAAGTAAAACAGTTGCTTGAACTAACATGGACCCACCTGAGCATACTTTTTATTTCCCTTTAGGTACTTGGAGCAGGGCCTGTGTCGGTATGGGGCCCAGTGTACATCAGCTCATTCGCAGGAGGAGCTTATGGAGTGGCAGAAGCGCTATGCTTCACGCCTCATCCGCCTCAAACAACAGCAGGAGAGTAAACACTTCACCGAAAACTACATGGAGACCTTAATAGAGAAGTGGATGAACTCCCTTTCTCCAGAGAAAGTGGTAAGTGACATTGTAGTTCATGCAAACTCAAAAGTGGCACAGTGAGATAAAAGTGAAAACACTGTGCAAACATGAATGTGTTCACTGCTATTTGAAACCATTCTAACATGTGTTCTGATTAAAAGCCTCTGCAATTTCTATATATATCTACTATATAAATCTCTCAAATATAAATGTAAATCTCTCAAATTTACTACACATTTCCAGCATAGGTCCTTATTTACATATGCATCCACACAAAAGCTTTGAATATCCTAATGGAGGGTTGTTTTTTTTTGTTTGTTTGTTTTTTTTTTTTCTTTTTGCCCCCATTGGGTATAAACACAGCTATTAACAGATATGTGACCCTCTAGTTCACTTCTTAAGTCTGTTTTATTACGGAAAACACTCAAATACCTCCACTACATTTAAGATATTTTAGAAGAACAATGCATCAAAGATTATGTTTTCTTTAGGAGTGTCAGTGTTGAGCACATACTCACAAGCCTTTAATATTATTTGGCACTCTGTGTCTAGCTCTTAATTAATGTGTGCTTACAGTTAGGGATACCTAACTTTTGCTTTCATTAATATTTGATGCGTAAATTAACTTGGCTTGCAAAAATATTGGCTAACCGTTGACCTGTAAATGGTTTATGAATAAATAAGCTGTGATGGTATGTAACTAACCATGGTATTTTATTTCTTCTAGCTAAGTGACTGTTTAGAAGGAGTGAATGTAGAGACCACCTCTAGCCTGTCTGTCACCGTCACCACCAAAAAATCCTCCCACTCCTGGGTCTTCTCCTTGTTGTGCAAGGTAGGATGAAGCATTGAGTGTTTGATCATTTGTCATTGTGGAGGAGGAACATGAGGGCCGTATGTGGTGATGTGTTAAGCACAATGTTAAGTTACATTTTGTTTATTTATCAACATTAATTCATTTTCAGTTGAATGTGACAGTTCTTCCACCATTTGATGTCATTAACAGTTGCACTGGTTACTCTCTGCTCTTTTTTTTCACTCTGTGTGTGTTTAAAAGGACAAAAGAATCACATTGTGTTGTTACAATTATCCCAAAACCCATAGTCTGTGCTCCTTGGATACTTGGTATATTAACCATCTGTTAATTTTGTGAAAGTCCTGATTATCTTCCCATTGCTCTGTACAGCCACCTAGAAAGCTGTACCGGATTGCTCTCCTCTATGATGCCCACCGACCACACTTCTTCATCACAGGCGTGTCAGCTGGAGAGCGGCTCCAAGGTGTTCCCAAAGGCTGCCAAGAGTGGACTCCAGGGGAGGAGACAGCAGGTGGGTCATAAATTTTATGTTGTGTTGTGTTGTGTTGTGTTGTGTTATGGTCAAACATGAGCTATCAGGGGATTTTTATTTTCAAATGTATTTTTCCAGCTTCATAAGGTTTCTGATTCCATTTTGTCTGTATAAATTATATGTGTCAAACTTGTATGTTTCATATAATCAAAAAATGTTAATGTTAGACAAGGATAACCCAAGTAAATACAAAATGCTGATTTTTTTTTTCTCTTTTCTTTTTAAATGATGATTTTAATTATTTTAAATGATGGTTTCAATTATTAAGGTAAAAATGGCCAACCAAACTCACCTGGTCCTGTGTGGAAAAGTTCCAAGGCGAAAATCACTGCTGACCAAACCCCCCCGTTGCGGTT